TGAAAAAATATGTTAAATGGTATTCAAGAAAAAATAATAATAATGAAAAAAAAATTATTGATATAGAAATAATAATTAAAAAGAATAATAATTAAAAATTATTTTTATGGATTTATTTAAAAAATATTATAGATGGGAAAATCATACCATATATAATATTATAACATGATATAAAAAATATATATATATTTAACTCCTAATTTAGTATGACTCATTTTTTTCTTCAAATTTAATACATAAAAGCAAATACTATTTAAAAAATTAAACTTGATTTACCTTGTTCGAAAATTTATTTTTTAAATATGATTTTACTTTTTAGTGTTCAAAATCTATGTGGTGTTGTTATTAAATTTATTTAAGTTTTTCTTTTTAAATTTTTAGTAATATATTAACTATAATTAAAACTATTAATAAATATAATCAATTATATTAAAATTTTAATTTATCAAAAAATATTAGTATTTTTTTATTATAAAACATTATCATTTATACTAAAAAAATGTTATAAATAGTTGTGTATGATAAAAGAACATGAGATAATTATGATAGAAAAATACATAAATTTATTATGAAAAAGATAAATTTATAATTCTTTTTACATTTTTACAAATATGTATTATCATTTTATTTAATTAGTACACATAACATAAAGTTTTATCACTGCATCAAAAGTAAGTTTTGTCTCTTTATAAAAACATAGAAAATAATATACATTAACTATAATTATTATAATAATATATATTAAACGTAGAATGTAACGCCGTAATTTAATTAATTATTTAATTAAATTATTTTTGGGTTATTTGTGATGTTGTGTTGTGATTAGTTGGATTTAATTATTCTATTAAGTTGTGGAATAATATTAGAATAATAATATTATTTGATATGGGCTTATTTTAAGGATTAGAAGTAGTAGAAAATGGGGTGTAGGAGTTTTAAACCCATTAATATATAATGAGAATTATAGGGTTATTATGTTAGTTATTTAGAATTAATAAGGTAAAGAAGTAGTAGTAAGAAGAAAATAAAATAAGGGTTGGAAGAGAGAAAGAGAACGTGAAAGTTGCAGAAAAGAAGGAAAAGAGCCAAAACGGAATTCAATCGGAAAAGTTGTAGAGCAACCTTCAATCTAAGGTAAGAGTGGAGTTCTGACTCTATAATAGGATTTATGATGAGTAGTATGTGGGATTGGATTTGAAAAGTTGTTTTGTTTATGGTTTAGAGATGAATAATGATGCCCTAAGTATGTGCTATTTTGAAGTTGCTGTAATGTTTGACAAAGATGTTATTATGATTCCGCTGCATAGTTGTTCAAGTTGTTGAATTAAGAGATTAAATTATTTGATGTTGGTTCATCCGAAGTTTTAAAGTGTTATGTATCCATGTTGAATACAATGTGTTTTTAAGTTGAATTTGTTGCATCCCGATTCAGTTGTATGAATTTTATAACTCTGATTTACATTTATAATTGTCGGGTAGAATTGGGGTGTTACATAGAAACTTTTAAGCATTTGACAGAAGCTGTCATACATTTTAGGTTTAGAAAAATGGACTAATATTTAAAATATGTTTAATAAATTTTTAGAATTAACTCATCTGGATTCAACTGAGATTTGTTAACTATGAGATATCGGCTATTGAGTCATCATTTTAATGTCTACCTTTTAATTATTTCTTTTGTTGTTGTTTTATATAATCGAAGTTATAAAAATGGTTGTAGATTTATTAAAAATACGAATTAATGCTTAAAAGTTGGTACATATTATTAGTATAGGATTTAAACTACGTGAATGTTTATGAACCAGAAAATAAGTTATATTATGTTTGATAATCTAAACACATGAATTAAAATTTGATAAATAATTAGAAGTTATAACTATATTAATGTTATTCAATTGAAAACATGGTGTCATACTTAACAATTTAATCATGATACGTGTAATATGAATTCGGGACCCGTGCGACAACACATGTTTCTTACTAGTTAATATTATAGTTGTAATCCTTCTGAGTTGTGTTATAATCATATGTCATTCTGTTGGGGGGAGATACTAGGAGCATCGATGCATAGTGTAGGAACAAACATCTTTGTGAGAGACACATCACTTCTCCACCTAAAACCTTAAGGTGATAGGTGAGTGGATTCTCCCACTTATATATGCTTAAGTCTCCATATTTCTATCCAATGTGGTACTATTTCCCCACTTACTCACACTTGTTATATTATTCTAATACTCCCCCTCAAGTGTGAGTCTACAATGCTCTCCCACTTGTACCTCTATTGACATCTTGCAACGGAACACCACTTCCTGAGTGCATTTCGATACAAGTCTCTTCCGGTCCCTTTCTCGAACCAAAGGCTCGGATACCATGTTGGGGGGATACTAGGAGCATCGATGCATAGTATAGGAACAAACACCTTTCTGAGAGACACATCACTTCTTCCTCTATTTGCAACACCACCTCTTTGATTGTCTTGGTATGATCTTCTCTTATTCGGTATGTTTCCTTCGTTCTGGTTTCCTCTACTAGTCGATTTGTTTTAGCCTCCTCTACCTCTGTAGAACCACTTTCCTTTGCCTTTGATTTCTTTTGTTGAATGTGCCTGCAAATCCACACCACTCTTTGACTTACCTGTAGCTCTTTCATTCATTCTTTATTCATGAGATTCAAGCGTCCCTTGAAGCTCTTCCTTTGTCAATTTCGATAAGTCTTTCCCCTTTTCTATAGCCACCACCACGTGGTCGAACTTAGGAGTCAAAGATCTCAAGATCTTCGAAACAACAGCTCTTGTTGTTAATGTTTCTCCACATGCCTTGATTTGATTCACTAGTTTTGTAACTCTAGTGAAGAAATCACATATGCTTTCACTATCTTCCATCTGAAGCAATTCATACGTTCTCTTGTGAGTTTGTAACCTCACTTCTTTCACCTTTTCTGCACCACCAAAGGACTTCTCAAGAACATCCCAAGCTTCTTTTACAGATTTTGAATCACTCACTTTTTCAAAATTTTCTGGACTCACACATTGATAAATTATAAAGATTTCTTTATAAATCAGCTTCTCAATTTCTGTGTGTTTCTTCTTTTCTTCTTCTGAAGCGTTTTCTCCAAGCGCTTCGAATCCATCTTTTACAAGATCCCAAAGACCTTTACACCTGAATAAAACTTTCATCTGTTTGCACCAATTCTCATAGTTGTCTACTTTCAGAATTGGTAGAGTTGCTGGATAATTTGCATTCCCATAATTCGCTACCGTGAATTCTTTTTCTTTCTCAATCGATACTTCCCTTGAATCAAAATCGAGCTCTTGATACCAGATGTTGGAAACCCACCAAATATCTATGATGAATTTCTACACAATGGCAATGAATTATGAGAAAGAAAAGAAAGAAGACAATTATTTTTTGCAGAGTTTCTCTTTGCCCACATACTGTGGAAAAACTTTATTATTCACTTTGCAACTGCAAAATACTGTGAATGACTTAATTGACTTGATTGACTTAATTACAAACTTAGAGGTTACTCCCTATTTATAGATTTTGTTTAGCTCAAATCCCAAAACTATAAAAGTCCAAAATACTTATTTTGGTACTAAATCAAATCTATCTATTTTAGATGTAAATCAAATCTATTTAAATTTAAAACAAAACTAATATGTGTGCTCTTCGACACACCATAATTTTGACACTATTGATTACAATTTAACATGTGTCATTCTTCTAGAATGACAATCATTTTATGAGTATATTAAAAATTGAAACACAAAATTCTTTGTGAAATCATTTAGAAATATTTTAATATAATTCATGCAATCCTTCAGGAATGCATGAAAATCACAATTGATATTTTCATAAAAATTGACCGATCATTTTTTTGAGAAATTCTTCAGAGATGCTTTAATATTAAATTTAAGTTCTCTGTGAATTATATATCACAAAAATTTCATAAATTAAGATTAAAATAACAAGATTTTCATAATCCTACAGGATGCTTAAATATCAATTCTTCGAGAATTCATCAATGATAAACATCTTTAAAAATATAATTATGTTAATTAAACAAAAAATTTCAATAAAATTTTATATAAAAAAATATAATAGATTAACACGTTAAAATATAATCTACAAAAGAAACAAAAATAAACATTAAAAACTTAGTCGAAAAAGAAGAAATAAAATTATATAAATTATTATAAAATCACTCGCACAGTAGAGTTTCATAATAACATGTTATAAAATAATAAGAAAGAAGAAAATATTAGAGGGAAAAAAATACAAATTTGCATTGTTTATCACTCTACAATGTAGCATGTGTGCTATTTATAGGACACAAATGATCAATGATAAAAACAATTGATCAACATTTAGTAAGACGAGGAGGTTACGAGACAAAAATTAAACATCTATAATTTGTAATTATTCATAACAGTATCACTTTAATAGTCACCTTTTTTAATTTCATTATCTTGAATTACATCTATCATTTTCATCTCTCTAAAATAGTTACTTTTTTTCATATTATTATCTTGAATTATGTCTTTAGGGAAGTTCTATTTGGATGACGTATCTTGTGGATGCTGATTTGGTGCAAAATACGGTTCTTCGATTTGTTGAGATTTAGTTATTTTATTTTGGGTTATAAACCCACTTTATTTATTAAAAAAACTACAATCATGAAGATGTATCAAAATAAAATATCAAAAATATGTTGTTGATCGTGTTAATTGTCATTTATTTTATGAAAAATATATATTCGTTTATCTACCATATAATGACATCATACAATAGTATCAGATAAAATTTAAATTTAAAATATAATTAAATAAATTAAAAAATTCAACATAAAAAAATTTAAATTGGACATTGGACATTGAACATAAACAATACAACATGGATAGTATGATAAATATAATGACCAAATACAAACATGAATTAACTCTTATTACACGCACGAAATAAAACTCAAAGAAGAATGAAAACAAAGTCTACAAGATTCGTTTACTCTTTTGAACAATCAGTAGGCTTAAACGACACCTTCTTAGCTTCAAGATCATAACCAACCAACAAATTCTGTTGAGCCAAGTTTCCAAAGATGGGAAAATCTCGAGCAGATCGAAACGCAAAGCAAGCAATGCCATCAGAAATTTGAACAAAAGTACTAATAGGATGTAACACAACATCCGCTCCTTCAAAGTGCGCGGTGATTAGAGGAAATTCAGGTTCTTCTGATGTGAGAGTGTAGCAGAGGTCAAATAAATTGTTAGGATCATCAACACGCTCGAGTTTCACTACTTCTGCGACTTCTGACACCAAATTAGAATAAATGTCAGATGGTAGAAGCGTCAATGTTGTTCCGGAATCAATGATGATGTTACCCTCACCACCAACATTAGTTGATGATGATGATGTGAATTCCAATCTTTTGGATCCAATGGAAAATGATTCTAATGTCAGAAAGTAGAAAACCTTGGGGTTTTTAGTAATAATAGGAGTTGAAACAACGCCGGTACCAGAAACAATTGCAGCATCTCCAAAATTGAGTTTACTCGTAACATTTGAAGAGCTTGATGTGAGCGATGAAGATGGTAAACAATAAGAGAATTTACCACCAATGGAGGATCCTAGTTGTGTTATGAAAGACATTGGTCCACCGCCGAGGCCAACTACACCGGAGCTTCGGCCTTTAAATGAAACAGTGTTATCTGTTCCACATCCTATCACGGTTTTAGGAAATGAAACGGAAGCACCGGTGGTGGATTCAAATGTAAGAGTATCAACACTAAGATCTCCTTCTGAATGTGATCCATCACCATATCTAATAGTATATTCACAATTGTTTTTGTTGTCGCAAGTCGAACCTCTCACGGATTGACATTGGTCAGACGAACAAGGAATGTTATTGTAAGTAGATGATCTTGCTGGGTTAAATTTGGGAGTGGTTTGATTGAAACATGTTTCACAAGACTCACATTGAAGCCAAGCAATGTCACTACCAGTATCAGCTATACCGACTAGCTTAAATGGTGGAGTACCAACTGAATAGGTCATGAGATATTCACCGCCATCGGGGAGTATGGTTGATTGGGGTGCATCTTTTACTACATTTTTTGAAAAATGATTAACACGATTGATTGAACGACGTGCAGCATTGATAATATTTTGATATTTGTTTTGGTTAGGTTGAAAGAATGGTGATTTTTCAGAATCACGATTGATGAGTTCAACACTAAAACCATTGTTGAATGCGTGAGAAATAAAAAATAAGGTTTGAAAGTTATGTGAACTCATTATTGATATGAATGTTTTGATGCAACTATTATATTTTTAGGGCTTTTTATAGTGTAGAAAAATGTACATGGACACGTTATTAAAAAATTCCTAAATAGAAAATATCAAGATATAGTCAAAAAAAAAAAAGTTTGATTATTCAATTATCTTTCGTAAAGGATTCTTTCATAAAGAATTAAATAAAAACGGTAAAGATTAAATAAAGGAGTCATATCATTTAAGATACAATTATATTTTACGGTATTATTGATGATTTGTTTTGTTATCGAATAGTCTATTGATGATTTGTTGAAATCAAACAAAAGATATTTTTTTATTATTATTAATATTATTATTATTATTATTATTATTATTATTATATAATTAAAAATTAGGTAAGTGATCCTGTTATAAATATATAATTACACCATTTGTTAGTTTTCTTTGCAGAGAATTTTGTTTAGGCTAAGAAATGTTAACATAAATTTAAAATCATTTTTTATTTTTTAGTCAAAAATATTTTATTGTAATAGATTTTTTATTTTATTGATTTTAGTCTTTCTTTTTATCTTTAAAATTTTTTTGAATATAAAAAGTCACTTAAACTTTGTTTGATAAAACTAGTTGATAGTTTATAATTGATAACCTAAGTTAATAATCTAACATGAGCGTTTGATAAATTAGATATTTCATTAGCTGATAGATATAAAATGACATAAAAAATTATTTTAATTAATAAAGATAATAGTATATTTTTATTAATAACTCATAACTAAAAGCTACAAGCTCAAAAGCTATTTCAAATAACTTTTGAAAAAAAAAACTAAAAACTAATAAAAAAGCTACAAATTAAAAATTAAAAGCAACTTACCAAAAAAAAGTTTTTTATTAATTTAGACTGAAAAGTTAAAAGTTAAAAGTTAAAATCTAAAAACTTTTTTTTTTTTTAGTCTTACCAAATAAACTCTTGCACCTTTCAAAATTTTAAAATTTATAAAACATTTTAAAATTTTAAAAGTATATGTTATAAGTTTTTTGAAATCAAAATTAAAAATATACTTAATGGTAACTAATATTTTTTTTAAATCTAATTTTTTTTTTAATTTTAGATAATTTTTTGAAATCTTCAAGATTTTTTAGCTAAAATGGTAAAAAAAAAAACATTTTATTGTAAAATATTTTTTATTCTATTTCTTTTAATTATACTTATTATTTCATAAAAGAAACTACAATTATGGTGATGTGTCAATCTAACCACACTTTTCATCTTTAATTTTTTTTTTTATGTAAAGAAAATTACAATCACTAAATTGTGACCTGCGCGGGTGTGTCATTTATTTTTATCACTATCAATTTTTCTAAATGATAAAATCTTTATTATTTTTATATTCTATATTTTTCAATTGACATATTTCCTCACAATTATTGATTTTTATTTTTATTTTTGTGCAACAAAATAAAATATAGAATAATAAATTAATTTATAGAAGGATTTTGTAAAAAATGCATTCATAACAATTAAATGAAAATTAAATATTATTGGTATGGTTATATTCAAAAGAAGTCATAAATGGAAAAAGGAAATTAAACAATAAAAATAATTTAATTGGTATGGTTATGACAAAAGCAATGGTAAGAGGTGTATATTTCAATCTTCATTTTAAAGTTGTTATTCGTAGAGACCATAAACTATAAAATTGTAAAACATGTAAATTTATGTGTATCTTTATTACAAAAGACAATAAATAATATATATACCTCTGTTTCTTAATATAAGATAAATTCATTTTTTAGATTCATTGAATACCTAATGTATCTCGTTTATATATAGACCATATACATTAGTTATTCAATGAATTTAAAAAGTGAATTTCTCTTATAATATGTGACAGAGGGAGTATATATTAATAATTGAAACCTAGTCGCCTCTCTTGTCTCTCTTCTTTCTTCGATCTTAATTTTCTTTTGTGCTTGATCCACTAAATAGGAGTGGTTTTAGGGTCAATTTTGATCCAAAATTATTCCTCTGAAGTCTTTTTCCTTTTCTTTTCATTCAAATAAGTGTTTTTATATATATTTTTAGTTTTTTTCTTTGTGATTTCGTCTTCTTAATGTGGCGTTGTGTTTGTGGCCGTCTTATTACGACTTATTTTATTTTCCCGTCTTGGTGCGATGTTTGTTCGGTTCAGATTGATAGATTATTTTCAACTCAGTACATATTCAATCAATGATTTTGACGTCGTCAATGCGGTATATATATAACACTTTTTATTTTGATTTATAAAACAATTTTTATTATATTATATAACATTTTTTATTAAATACATAAAATTGTTTTTATTATTAAAATATATTGTTAAAAATATTTACTATATTTAATTTTTTTTTCTATATTCTGTTTTAAAAAATATAGATAACTTTATTATATTCTTTTCTATATTCTTTACTATATTTAATATATTATCAAAAGTAAAACTTTATTATATTATATATTACATTATGTTTTAATAAAAAAAAAAAAAATTTGTTTTAAATAAATATATTAAATTTTTTTTCCTGTTACACTATATATACACATAACTACATATTTTATAAAAATAAAATAATTTTTTTTCGTATAACTACATATTTTATAAAAATAAAATAATTTTTTTTCCTTTTACACTATATATATATATATATATATATATATATATATATATATATATATATATATATATATATATATATATATATATATATATATATATATATATATATATATATATATATATATATATATATATATATATATATATATATATATATATATATATATATATATATATATATATATATATATATATATATATATATATATATTCAAACAACAACCAACAATTCAATTAATATATACATATATAACAAATTCAAAATATAATTAAATAACATAAATACTTATTCTTCAATCTCCTTCAACTTCTTACCTTTTGTTGAATCTTTCTTCTTTTCTCTTCAATTTCTTGACAAAAAAAACATAAACCAACATCACAAAACAGTATTAACCTAAAACGAAAATATTAAAAATAAATTAAAGAAATATTATATCTTTGTTACAAAAGAATTTTGGAATTGATTATGGATGTTATTATAGAATTGAATCGGAATGGAATAAGATAGAAGAGAGAAAAAAAGAAAAGAACGTGGAAGAAACACAAATGGTTTCTGGAAAGAGAGAGTGTGTATGTTTATTAATCAATCAGCAACGTGAATTTCACGTCGCAACCTTGCCATGTGAGATTCACGTCACAACTCTCAACGTTATAATTTAAATATTAAACAATCAGTGACGTGAATTTCACGTTGCAACTTTGCCACGTGATATTCACGTCGCAAACCCTACAACGGTTATATTTTTTTCTGTCAACATGCACGATTCAGAAGAACATCTTATCAAAGGCAGGGTTTTTCCCTCTTAAATATTTGTGACTTGTTAAACACGTCACAATAATTTTTTTTGAAATATTCAAAATTCCCCCTTCAAAATGCCTTATGCTTAATATTTTTTTATTCTACTTTTTATGTTGTGACGTGTTTCCCACGTCGCAACTTTTTTATACAAAAAAAGTTTTGATTGCCGCAAACCAAACCTTACTTCTATTATTTAAATGTTAAAATAATTTAGTAACGTGATTATCACGTCGCAACTCCTAAATTTTAGTGACATGATATTCATGTCACTAAAACACGTCGTTGGAGAGCATATTTCTTATAGTGGTCATATTTATATATATTTTATCATTATATGCTATTAACGTGGATGCTGTGAGTTTGTTCGCAGATTCATTCTTTTCAATTTATAGTAATTTTGAATTTGTATTATTTAATGTATTTTATCAATTTGAATGAATGAATATCGTTATAAAATAATATATAACAATGTAAATAAAATTAAAAAAATTAATAAGAAATAAATAAAATAAATTAATTATATCAATGTCTTCCTCTTTAACATTCTCTCAATTATTTTATCACTCCCAAATTTCTAATTTATTTACTAATAACACCAATTTACATCCACTCCATAAATTCAATGACTTCATTAAAATATTCTTACATATCTTATATTATTATCATAAAAGAATAAAAATATTTTTTACTTTACATATATTATTTTTTGAAAGAAGTACATGTATTTTTTAATTGAGTTACATTTTAATAATATATAATACTTATTTTTAATTACTCATATTTTATATAATTTTACATAATTCAATTTTATTGAAATTGTTTACAAATAAATAATCTTTTCATTTTTAGTGATAAATGATAGGTCATAAATACTCGGTTTTAGTAACCCATATTTTAATATTTATAAGTAACTTTTTTAATAGTGTTAGATGGATAGTATATTATTATCATTAATAATAATATTATTAATAATAATATTATTATTATTATTAACATTATTATTATTAATTTATATTATTATCAATAGATGAATATTATAATATTAATTTTTACTTCTATTATTATTATTATTGGTTTAATATTATTATTATTTTAATTATTTTATTAATAATAATATTATTATTCTTATTATTTTATTACTATTATTATTATTATTATTATTATTATTATTATTATTATTATTATTATTATTATTATTATTATTATTATTATTATTATTATTATTATTTGGCTAGAATTAGAGTCAAATTATTGTTATTATTATTAGCTAAACATTGTATTATTATACAATATTTATATTGTTATATGTTTTTTACACCACCACCACCACCACCACCACCACCACCACCACCACCACCACCACCACCACCACCACCACCACCACCACCACCACCACCACCACCACCACCACCACCACCACCACCACCACCACCACCACCACCACCACCACCACCACCACCACCACCACCACCACCACCACCACCACCACCACCACCACCACCACCACCACCACCACCACCACCACCACCACCACCACCACCACCACCACCACCACCACCACCACCACCACC